CACCTTTATTAAAATATCTGTTAATCCGCTATTAGTCTCCCTGCGAGCTTTATAAACAAGTAACTCTTAATTAGCAGGATGTTGTGTTACGGTGCCGGCTGAGGGTGAATCCTTAGGCCATGCTTTAACACCAGAGATCGCTCCTACAGATAATACCGGCCTGTTCGGGCACGGCCCCGGGTTCATCAGTGATCCCAAACTTCGTTATTTTGGCTCACAGAAGGACAGGGGTGCTCGGCCTCGTCCTGTGCCAGCTAGCTGTGCGATCGCAGTGGGTTTTTAGGGAAGCGGGAAAGCAAAGCCCTTACAGCCACTCGCCTTCCCACCACGTTACCCACCCCGCCTCCCCAGCACTGCAGCTTACTGAATCGCGCCCGTCGCACCCTCCCGGGCCCGCCCTTCCCGGCCGGCGCGCAAGCCGGCAGCGCAGCAATAACCTGCCGTGCACATAAACGCCCCCGAAATTACTCTCCGAGGGATGTCACTTGGCGGTGGCCGAGGGACGGGAGTGCCATTTACCTGCTGTTGGCCTGAGAGGCCGCTGCCAGGTCCAGCACGGCCCCGCGGTGCGGCTCTGGGGAGATCTCCCCGGGGGGGCTGGAGGGCTCCAGCTTGGTTGGATCTTTGGTAAATTTGCTTCCTGGTGCCGGGTGCGCAGGGTGATTTTGGAAGGAAAAGCAGAACTAGAATTAGCAACCAGAGATGCCAACGATGCAGCTTTTCCACCTCCACTTGTTCCCCTCCTAGTCCCAGAGCAGAGGTCAGGGTGGGGGACAGGTTTTCAAGAGTCAACTGCTTACAAAGAGAAGGGTGCAGATTTAATTGGGTTTACATGTGAAAATAATAGCAAGACACTTGCTTAAACCTCTGCGTAACTGTGTGCTGGGGAGCCCTGCTGGGGATGGAGCACCTCCGGAAAGGGCTGGCTGCCGGGACAGGGTGCCAAGAGGTGGGGACTGGGGTCGGGAAACCCAGGCAGGGCCAGGGCCATGGACCAGTGCTGCAGGAGCAAGCCCCAAAGTGGGGAGAGCCCCATCCCAAGGGAGGGGACGGGCTGCGCTGGACAGGAGCTTGGCAAAGCCCAGAGCAGCGGTGACACTGGCAGCCCCGACCTGCAGCTCCAAGCCCACATGCAGCAAGAGAAATCTCTGCTGCAGCAACACGGAGAGGGACAAAAGCATCCTGTCACTATGAAAAACCTCCTCTCTCCCTTCCCTGTTCCTCAGCAACCTGAAAGGAGCTGAAACGAAGTCTCAGCAATGACCTTGGAGATGAAAAGAGTGATCTGAAGGCAGGGTAGGAAATGAAAATCGGGCAGGGAAGGTGAGTGAAGAGCCAAAGGAGGGAATGAAATTACACCATGAGGCTGCAGAAACCACGGAGGTGTCTCGTTAAATAGCTGCCAAAGGCACTGCCCTGGTCTCAAAGCACCATCGCGACATCCCCACCCTCCAAAACACATCCCATCCATGGGAACATGAAGCCTTTTTCCTTTCGGCTCCGGCCTGCAGGGAAGGGCAGGGCACTGGCAATGGGACCAGCAGCAATATAGGGCCTTAAAGACACTATTTATCTGCCAGCAGTCCAAAAGGCTCCTTTTGATTTGTGCTTTCTATGGACCAAATCTTGTTCTTGCAGCAGCAAAGCCTGCCTGAAGCTGCTACCCAGGGGAGTAGCAAAAATAGGTTTCCTAGCAGTGGTGGGTATTTTAATTAAAGGGTGAGCAAAACTGTACAGGGAAGCTTTGGGATACTTTGCAGTCGGCAATTTAAAATACAGCTCCGCTCAGAAAATAGTGTCTTAGCAAAAATGGCACCTCCTGACTCAGCAGATGCTTTTTTTTTTTGCACAGTCAGATGTGCTGACATGAATCACAAAAAGCCAGGTTTAATGTGTTTTGCTTCTGGTAGGCCTGGAGGGACCAGGCAGGGGAGGGGGAACTGCCACGCGCTCCAGTCCTGCTGGGTTTGCTTCCTCATCTCCTAATTTCCACTTGTACCTCCCTGCCGTGTAACCCCTGAGCTCGTAGCACGGTGCTTTCCAGCAGCAGCTCTTGAGCTGACGTGCAGATATATGCGATGCCTCCCCCCAGATACCACACAACCGTGATGGATTTTGCATCCCGGGACATAGATCAGTGCTCCATCCCTTGGGGTGGATTAGAGCTTTAAAAACCCTTTTCTTGAGAAAAAAAGTCATTTATAGGGCTGGAGACAAAGGAACCCATCCCCCCACCGCATTGAGGTGGGACCCCCTCCGGGCTCTGCTGGAGGTCCCCTTTGGGTGTCTTTGTCCCCAGGGAGCACCCTTGGGGCCGGGGCTGTCACGGGGCCACAGGTGTTAATTTGGCCGGTGGAGATGTCGGAGGAGAAGGTGTCTGGAAAACCGCCAGCATGTGGGGTTGGCAGCTTGGGGAAAAAAAAACAACAGGTCTTTACTTGTGAGCCAAGCCCAGGCGATCTGGGAGCGGGGCTGGGTGGTGATAAATTGGGGTGCAGTGCCATAGTTTGGGCAGTGGGATGGGGCAGCTGGAGTGAGGGTTGGGTCAGGCCACCCCAATACCTATCTCCTTTTGTTTGCCAAAAAGCATTTAGCCTGGCTTCTCCAGCTCAAACAAAAAGGAGTAAAAACATGAGGCAAAGAAAGCCTAAGAAAGCCCCTCTCAGGGTTTTGTCACTGAAAAAATGCATTTTTGTTGTTTTACTTTTTAAAACAGTCAGCAGCTGGATGATGCTAGCACTTCCCAGCCAAGAAAAGAATAATTTACCACTGAGGAACCCAGCAGTGATTTTTCTTCCTCCTGAAAGCACAGAAACATGTCGTGTGCTGCCTGTAGCTGCAGCTCAGCCCAGCACAGGGAGCCAGCCCAGCCTCACGCACCGGGGATTTGTTGCTTAAACCTTCAAAACACTATTTAAGGGGCACACAGTGCTTGCACCGATCCCAGGCAAAGGCAATCTCAGCACAGACAAGGCTACTCCTCACTAAGCATAATTGCACGTGTTCGGCACTTTTGCTGCTTACAAGTGACATTATTTCAATTTTGCTTCTCTGAATAGTCTTTCAGTTTTGTGGGTAATAGGTCAAAGGACGTGGAGAACGTACCTGTAAAAATTCTCTCGTCAAACATCCTAGGACGAAAGGAAAGGAAAAAAGGGATTAGAAATAGGTGCTTCTAATGACTGAGTTTTAGGTTTTATTAACGAAGAGCTTTAAACCAAGTCAAAATAGTAATTTTATTCATTCCCTAAAAAAAGGGAATGAATTTTTCATCTATAAAAAAAAGCCTTTTAGCCTGTTGTGCAACCAAGCAATCTTACAGCATATGCTTTTTAACTAAAGCACCTTTAAATCTGCTTATAAGTCATTCTCTTCATTTAATTAACTTATTAAATGAGGCTGCTACAGGCTGGCTTTACCAAAAGGGATGATGGGACTGAAGTAACTGTTGCTGGATCTTCACTTCACAGTGTTGACCATCGACCAGATGTCACCTGCCTCCTGAATATCATCTTTTGGTGCCACCCACAGCTTTGCTCATGGCAGCAAAGTGTGTGCAGGGGCATGGCCTGGGGCCTGATCCAGCCTGGTGCAGCCCAAGCAATGCAGGACAAAGCAGCTCCTCCACTGGTTGACATCTGGAAAGCTAACTCCTTTTAGGATGCCCGAGTCCTGTTGATGTCGGTGATTTTAGCCCCCTTGGGACCCTTAGCTGGGGTTTTTCTGCGCCGTAGTTTCACACCTTTAGCAGGGGAACAACACAAGTGCTGCACAGGCAGGGACTGAATAAATAAATACATCATAAAGGAGATTTTCCTGACAGAGAAGCAAAGAGGGGTTGCACAGCGCAGAGATAACCGGGAAAGCATCCACTCCTCCTACTCCACTGTAAACGCAGACACCAAGGCACAACGCCCTGCCCACAGGCAATGCGTCCTCATCATCGTATATATAGGATGTCCATAAGTGATCACCGAAAAACAAGGTGGAGGGGAATCCCCACGTGGCATGAATATGGATGTTCCTCCTCCCACCCAGAGGCACCACTTGCATCTGCCAAATGCCATTGGAGAGAGTCGTGCTGCAATCGATCAGAGGGTCCCACTACTGCCCAAAATGCTTAGGGTGGTACCGGCCATGCCCGCATGGACATACAACAGGGTGACGGGGCTCGGGGGTGACCGTGGTATGGCCAGCCCTGCCACATCCTCACAAAAAGGGAGAGAGTGATGGAAAACAGAGGTTTTGGGGGAAAAAAAGAGCTGTTTAGCCCTTTTCCATAAAAAAGGGTAAAATGACTTTTGTGTGTCGAAATAAACCCCGTGAGCATGGAGGGAACACAGCCTATAATCCCGAGCCCCATCGAGTCCATGCACTCTCCCTTGCCTTCCTCACCACCCACCTTTTGATGACAAAATGGATGTTGTGCCTCTCCTCCAGTATCCGCTTGAGTTTGGGGACGCCATAGGTGCAAGGTCTTTTGAAGGGTATTTTGTCTGGAATCCCGATGATTTCCACCGCCTCGGGGTCACAGGCAATCTTCCGGTACGGGACAGGGACCATGTGGTCTAACCCCAAGGCTTCGGCTGAAAGGTGAATGCATGGTTTCCATTTAAACACACGCTTTTCCATTTGCAGATGATAAAATGAAGGTGTAAAGGCTTGAACTCAAGCAGAGCCAGTGCCTCCTGCCCTCTTCTCCTTTGCTTGTCCCAGAAGGTGAGCCCCGGGAGCAGCTTGCCCATGGGAGATTGGACAATGGGGAGACAATGCAGCAGCAAACACAGCTAACAGTGTCCTCCAAAACCCTCAAACACACCCGATGTTCTCAAACCAGGCTCAAACGGGCCCACGTGCCGTCCCCAACCTCCCCGAGACCGCAGCAGGTTGCTGAGCTATATAACTCACGAGTTGCATAGCACATATACAGTTTATAAGTTAGAGAGCTCATCTATACCCCATATATAACTCACGCTTTATACAGCACATATTTCTAGCCCATCTATAACTCATGAATTACACAGCCTGATGAGGACGGTACAGGCGACAATCTCCAGCCCATCAGCCCATTCCTGAGTAATTTCCTGACCTTACAGCTGCCCAAACAGCCAGGAACTAACCCAAAAGCACTGCCCATGGCAAGGGAAGCGCCAACGACGCCCACAAGCTGTGCAGGCGGAAAAAAGCAGCTGCAATAAGGACAAACTTCTTTTTTCCCCCTGCTCCATTAATTTAAAACGGCCATACGTCACAGCTCCCCCTCTCCCGCAAGCGCCGGTGGTGCCCAGGCCCTCTGACCCAGCGTGCCACGCTTCAAACCAGGGACGTTTTACAGCCCCGTTCTAAATTCCTCGACGGTGACGGGGGGGACTCCAAATGGAAATATTGACATAACCTTCAGCAGACACCCAGAGTCTGGGAGCTGCTGGGCTAAATGTGTTAGGAAGAGAAAGGAGCTCTAGCATATGGCTTCTGCTGCTGTGTTAGGGAACAAAAATGATTGCTATATAATGATATGCAAACCACAAGCGCTGCAGATGCATAATGGGATATTAACTCCTACTCACCATATCTGCTGTTAAACAGAATTTGCACGCACTCCCTAAGGGTGTTGATATCTTCAGTTTCTTTTATAAAACTGTCCCACTTATCTATCAAAACAAAATATAAGAAATAAGGAACTTCCATATGGTTCATACACAGCAGATGCACTTTTCTCGCGCGAAGCGCTGGGAAGCAGGAACAAGATTTTGCTTCTTTAAAAATAATGATTTCCCTCTTCCTGAGCAGATTCTGCCATGCTGGCAGATAAGGTCTGGGCTTCCCCAGCCCCAGCCCCAGCCCCAAGCAACCTCCTCTGCAGCCGTGCATGTGCAAAGCAGATTCCTAAGAAATGACCCCATAAAACTTCTCAACCCTGAAATGAAAGGCCCTCCGGGACAGAGCAAACTCAACCTGAAACGAACCTTTGAAAGGCACAGCCATTTCACAGAGGAGCCTTTTCATTTCCTTCTCTTTTCCAACTTTCCCACCCATGTTTTTATCCTTTTTTTTAACGCACGCAGGCGAGAGGTTTGATGTAAACACATCAGCATTTTTAGGTTGCGTTTCCCTTGGGTGGAGGTGGGGAAATGGCAAAGTCTCCTCCCCATTGCTGATCCCCCCGGGCACTGCTGCAGAATCACGCTGGGGTTAGTGGGTTTCAGTTAGTCTGAAACAACGCCAAGCTTTCGGCAGGTATTTGCTGTTTGCAGCTCGGGCAAACAGCCTCACCCAAAGCCGTGCCTTGGTTCCCTGGGCACGGAGCAGGGATGGGATTTCCCAGCTGGCCGGCAGCACCTGAGGACCAAGCATCGTGGAGATGGCAGGGACACACCCAGGCGGGGATGAAGGTCTTGGCTGTGATGCTGAGACGTTCCAGCAAGTAAAGGGAAAAAATCCCCCACTGCAGCATCTCCAGCGCTGCTGGGTCCCTGCGGAGCATGGAGATGGCTGGGAGAGCACCGGGGAGAGACGGGGCTAGAGGAACCCTTTCCCTAAGAGGTGGCTGCCGGTCGCCTCTGATGGCAGAGTGGGACACGGACCTGTCTTGTCATGGACAATGGAGAAGAGGATGCGCTTGGACGAGTGCACATTCTGGATGAGGGGACCTCCGGAGACCGACGATTTCTGTCCTGGACAAGAGGGGAGACAAGGAGAAAGGGCTGATGAGAGCC